GATAAATGTCTATAATATAATATTTAAATACCTATAATAGTAAAATAATAAGTTAATATGATAAACATGTAGGTTGCTCCTTAAAACAACCAGAATCTCTTTGGTCAAGAGCAACTAGCTTTTCTGTCTCCTAAAAAAACTTGGACCCACATGCAGCTGCAATTCTCCCGAGAATTACTGTACAATTCCAAGAAAATTATTTGCATTTGAGATTTTAATTCATTGATTTAGTTCTACTGCCATTAAAATTAATAACCAGCTGATAACTTTTGGTGAAAGATAGTCAACAAAGGATAAAAAGAAACCCAAGTTTCTGGATTGGGAGTTCATCCCATCAATTAAAAAATGACAGTAATTCATAATGATAAATACTAAACTTAGGCAACAAGGAGATATTTTATTTTCCAATTTTTCATTGAGCTTCTGAGTTATTCTGGACACAACATACCTTTCCCTGTCTATATTATTAGTATCTTATTTTCTCACTTTCAGTTTAAATGTAGTTACTGTTTTAAAATATTTCTCAAAGTTAAACTGCAACAGTGTCATCAAAATGAAGACTAATCGATGATTACTACTTTATCCCAATTTCTTTGTAATGTGTCATGGGAAACAGCAGGGATGGGCAGCACATGTGCCCAGTGCATCACTGAATTTCTGTGAGCCAGTTTCCTCATCGGAAAAGTGAAAACTCAGCAACGCACTTCTGAGTCTGTTGTGGCGCAAGAATGAATCTTCACAAGTTTGTGCAAATCTCTGCCGTCATGAGAGATGGTTAACCATAACTCTCACTCATCATGAAACCACACCCAGCACAGCACACCAAAAAGGAGGGGGAAAAGCAGCCTCGTCTGAGCAGGCTGTTATCACACACAGAAGAATTAACGATTTCTACATCATGTACGTGTGCTAAGTATTTAACCAAGACCAGAATTATTTTTAAGATTGAAAAGATGTAACAGCTAACATTTATATGTGGTGCTTTATAAATATAAAGTACTTTCACACACTTTGAATTGTGTATCTTCACAATAAACTTGGTAAGTAGAAACTATTTACTTTTATTTTATATCTGAGGATAGCAAAGCTCGTGAAAGTGACCAAGACAGGATTGCTGGGCTAGTCTGAGGCGGAGCGAGTATTTAGTCCAGGAATTCCAACCCTGGAGTCTTCCCCTTTCCACCAGACCAAATGGGAATGCCAAATTCCTAGATAAGCAATCTACATGCTGGAAGTCAGGTGGTCTGAGTAATGTTCTGGGTTGGACTAACCCCAGGAGTATCTGACTAAAGCTCTGAACTTCCACTGACCGCTGGTCTTCCATTCACAACTTCATCTTGCAAGGCAGTGTCAACTTGCCTTCTGGATTTGCCATTTCATATGCCAATGTCCTCTTTGTACCATGAGGACATGGACAGGGGGGACTAGGGTCTCATTCATCCTTCCTTTCCCTGTGACAGCTTACACATAAAAAACCCTAAACAGAAAACCACTTCAAAACATTGAGTTCATTCATTAGTTCATGAAAAAAAGAAATCCTGAACACTTACTTTGTGACTGTCTTAGTGCTAGAATAATACACGGCACACAGAGAGCCCTGCCATCACAGTGTTAATGGATGAACAGCAATAGTGACGACAGCATCTAAGAAGAGTGGTTTGCCACAAAAGGCAGAGCACAAGGAGATAACCCAGTGTGTGGCAACAGGGAAGGCCTCCCCGAAGAAGGGACATTTAATCTGCCACCTAAGGCTGAAGGGGAGGGAGACAGACGAAGAGGAAAAAGAGACCGAGGAAGAGAGACCTGCACGTGCGCTAACTTGGGGAAATGCGTCCCCTAAAGCCGACCTGAGCTCCTGCAAGTTACTGAGCTACCCTGGCTCAGAACCACATCCAATAACGATGTTGAGAAGATCAGAGCACAGTAGGCATCATAACAGGTTAAAATAGTGTCTGTGTGTAAGCAAGTCAGGCACTCAAATGAACCTTCAGGGTACTTCAGTAAATTTTATTTCAGTTTTTCTATTAAGTCAGGGGTAGGGATGTGGTTCTTTCTCTTTTGTGTGAAACTAAACATTTTATTTCATGAGTGGAGAGTCAATATTCTACTGGTGTCTAGCCTGGTTGAGAAAGTGGATTCTTATGAAACCAACAGGAAAAGAGTATAAAGATTTATGCATTCACAGCTGTTCTTTAAAAGTAACCTCACATTTTATAGTTAGTCATAATTATATTTCCAGTCGTAAATTAAATCTTTATTCATGTCGTATCCCATGTTGCAGACAATACAATAAATTACACTGCCTTGCGGCAGATACTTAATGTACAATATTAAAATGAGATGTTCTCACAGTGTGTAGTTTTACAACTCTAAAGCTTGGCATAAAACTTAATATAAATATATAAACTGCCAGAAAGATACATGCTTTCATTACATGTAGGCAGACACTGAACCACCGAGGAATGTACCCCATAACCACCTTTATGGGATATTATTATGTACTGAATGATGTCCTCTGCCCCCCAAGTTCACGTGGGGGCTCTAACCCCAGTACTTGAGACTGTGATTGTAAGTGGACATAGAGTCTTTAAAGAGGTAATAACGATTAAATGAGGTTGTAAGGGTGGGGCCCTAATCCAGTATGACGGGCATCCTTATAAGAGAAGAAAGCACCAGTTGTGGGTGAGCACAGAGAGAAGGTCAGGGAGGGCACAGCAAGAAGGCAGCCATTGGAAATGCACCAGAAACCAAATTTTCTGGCACCCTAATTTTGGACTTTAGCTTCTAGAACTGTGAGAAAATTAATTTCTGTTGTTTAAGCTGCCCAGTTTATAGACTTCGCTATCACAGACCAAGCAAACTAATACACATATATATTTTACAGTTATACATGTACATGTGCAATTAAGTACATAGACATGCAGACTGGTTTGTGTGGTTAAATTATCTAGAGTCCTATTTGAAAACAGTAAAAAGGTTTTTATGTCATTGCATAATTAAAATTTTTGTTAGATTAAAAATGAGTGTGCATAATTTATATTTATGCAGCCAGACTGTATCTGGATATTAACTGGGAAAAACAGAATTGTTTTTATGAAGTGGGTATACACTCACAACCTCCACCCGGCCAGTGTATGGGTACCCTAAAAGAAAAAACACACTTTGGACATGTTCACAAAGTGACCCATCTTTCAGAGAGAATTTAACGGACTGGGCTTAATCTACCTACAATCACTTAAACTTGGACCCTACTGTTTCAAATTTAACTTTTTATGGGCAGCTGTTATCTTCCTGTCACCATCAAGTTACCTTAAAAAGCTTTTTATGAGTTTAATTGAGCCTAACTAATTATCCAACAGTACAAAGAAAGATGAAATCCTTAAATATTTAATCCACTTATGACTCCAAGTGTCATTTTCTGAATGTGGCTGTTAAATTCTTAGAATTACCTTGTAAATTAAAGCTGCTTTTTCAGACACTCAAGACAGGTAATCACAGCTTACCCAATGTGTGAATTCAACATTTCATCTATTCAAGAAAATTTATTCCAAGTGCTGTATTCACAAACCTCCACCCGGCAGGCTTATTGATGACAATGGAACATGAGAAGCTTTTGCTTGTAAGCTTCGTAACCATCAGGCATGCCTTCATCCTGATCTCCATTCTGGGCTTTTCCTCTGCTCTTCCACTTGTCCGACGATTCATGAGTTAAAGGTTAGCTGCCCTCTGTCTGTGTAACCACTAGAACCACTTTGTTCTCCTTAACTCATCTGCAGCCTTGTCTCTCTCAGGAAGCTTCGCCCCGCTGTGACCAGCAGGCAGGCCCCTCACCTATACATGGCCCTCACCCCACCCCACCCCACCCCACCTCAGGATGGTCCTGAAACACTACATGCACTCATGACTTTATCTTTTTAATTCCGTTTTTTAAAATTCTCATCCGAGGGCATGCTTATTGATGTTTGAGAGGGGAAAAACAGAGAGAGAGAAAGGAAGAAAAACATCAGTTGGTGGCCCACACCCACCCCTACCAGGGAGGGAACCTGCAACCCAGGCCTGTGTCCTGACGGGGAATCAACCCTGCCACCCCTCAGCTTATGAGACAAGGCTCCAACCGACTGAGCCACACCAGCCAGGCCCCCATGGCTTGACTTTAATTACACTGCTCCTGCTTGTTTTTTCCCTGTATTTTGAAGGCTATCGAAGACTAGAAGCAGTGTTCTTCAAGACTAGATCCCCGAAATGCAAGACACGTCAGGCAACCACACCTGTGAAGCACCTACTCCCAGAACCAGACTCTGGATTCTCGTGTAAGGAAACTCGGAGAGCTGACGCCCGTGAGAGGACAGAAAGCCACGTGTACACAGCCCCCACCGCCACAGAGACACAAGCACACAGCCCAGACCCTGAGAGCCTTGAGGTCCGTCAGGGCTCAAAGCCCATGTCCCAGCTCCCAAGGCTGACACGGTGTGAGCTGCTCACTGGCTCAACTTCGGAAGGAAATAGCTGCCTTCAGACTGAAACGCAAATTCCCTAAGGGATGTTAAGAGATTGGAAGATTATACTGCAAATGAGCTATTTAGCTCTCACCTTTACAAGTCTCAATGGAGGGAAAATTTATTTTCCGATACCATCTTCTAGCATTAGCAATATAAATAGCAACAGAAGAATATTTCTAGAATAACTACCAAGTAGTCTTTTTTCCCTTCCACGACCACATGCCACACCCCGTTGATTTGAAACATAACTGTGTACATTTAAACTATAAAACGCAGACGGCGCGCTAGACTTTCCAGTTCCAACCACTTCCTATTTTTTTTAAAATAAAACATATTATTATAAAAATACGTTTGTTGCAAAGAAAAAAAAAGAAGAGGAGGAAAACACTAATCAGGAGAGCAAACACTAGACTCCCACGGTTACTGGAACAGAAGCAGCCAGCGCTGGGCCGTCTGCACGGGCACCGCCGCGGGCGGGCACCCGCCGTGGGAGGTACCTACCACCTTTCATCATGCCCACTTCGTAGCACTTGCGCAGCCGGCAGGCCTGACAGCTCTTCCTCCTGTTTTTATCAATTGTGCACTGGTTGGTAGCCGGACACATGTAGTCATTATGTCCTATTAAAAGCAAGAGGACAGGATTAATATTTTTTTCAGGAAACGCAGCCAGTCAGAATGTACGATGAGGCTGTCTGGGGAATGTTTTCATATCACTTACTTGGCCTTACTAGGTCGTTACCTCAGCCCACCATCCTTTCTCTGTCCTTTTCTAAGTGAAAAAAAAAAAATCTCCCAGACTTATTTTCTGCCTCAGCCAAATGTGTTGGGAGTTCTCTGGGCAAATCACCTTCAGTTCACACAGACTGTATTTGGGGGCACGATGTCTTATTTGCACTTACAAGGTCAGCTTCTCTCAGCAGATAAAGTCTTTTTAAACCAGGCCACTAGTTAAATTGGTGTCAGAATAAAACTTAGAACTCTCAGAGAGTTTCAAAGTGGCCTCCATAAACACAATTTTAAAAAATCTTTAAGTGGGTATTCAAATGCAGCTTAAAAACCTAAATTCAAGCCGCAGTGGTCAGCTGGGCACTGGCAAAGCTCAGCCCTTAAGTTACTAAGTTAGTCCGTCACTTACTAGCTGGGGGACATGGAGAAAGCCAGTAACCAGCTCCAGTCCTCACTGTCCCCCCTTTAACCTAGAGAAAACGAGGGTGCCCACTACATAACGTCATTCTAAAAATTAAGTGTGAACCCTGGCTGGCATAGCTCAGTGGATTGAGCGCGGGCTGTGAACCAAAGTGTCGCAGGTTTGATTCCCAGTGAGAATACACATGAAGGGCTTACCACAGTACCCCGCCTATGGTGAACACGCAATAAATACCATTATTGTTGTCACTATTATTTTATCGCAAATCCTCTTTCTTTTCTCTCTCGCTCAAATGCTCCTTTCTTGGGGGCTTTTATCGCACACAAGTCTGCCTCCCAGAACAGATCTCCTGAGACCTCACATCACTCCCAAACTTCCATCTTGTGTCCCTCCCCTCTCCTTGGCGACTCACACCCTCAGAGATGTCTACACTCCGGGGACCCTGTTTCCTTACCACCCCTGCCAGTCTGTTTTCCTACTTAGTTGCCCCGCAAAAGTAGCTTGTCTGGCATCAGCAATGACTCTTAGTGCTTAATCCAACAGATAGTTTCAGTCCGCATTACACTTTGACCTATCAGAAGCATCAGGTACAGAGAACAAGAAACATAAATAATAGGTACGAAATAGACAGGGGGAGGTTAAGAATAGTATGGGAAAGGCAGAAGCCAAAGAACTTATATGTCTGACCCATGGACATGAACTAAGGGAGGGGGGTTGCTGGTTGGAGCGAGGGTGCAGGGTGGTGGGGAATACGGGGGACAAAAAAAATGGGACAACTGTCATAGCATAATCAATCAAATACATTTTTTAAAAAAAGAAGCTCAAAAGATGCCTCCCTTCTTCTGAAACATTCTGAAAAAAAAATAAATAAAACATCTCTTCTCCTTTGGCTTCAATGACACAAAACTCCCAGAGTTGCTCCGCCTCCCAGGCTGCGGCTTCCCCGCGTCGTTTGCAGATTCACCACCGAGCACTAAGTCAGTCACCACCGAGCACTAAGTCAGTCACCACCGAGCACTAAGTCAGAGCTCCACAAGGCTCGGTGTCAGGCCCTGTTCTCTGTTCACTGCTCCGTGTGACCCCATGGGAGACTCCAGTCCACACCCATGGTTTCCGCTGTCATCAAATGCAGATGACTCAGAAGTGCAGACGCCCAGTCCAACCTCCTTCTCTGAGCTCCAGATAGATATATTTTGTTGCCCACGTGAAGTTTCTGCTCTATGATTTAGAAGTCTCCTTTATTTCTTTCCCCATCAGAAAAAATCTGGTCTATAGGATGCAGATGATTAAACTTCACAAATTAACAAAAACTGGTAGGTTTTGACAAAGAAGTCCATTTCTATAAGTCTATATTCTTACGCCTCTGGAGAGATGTCCTGAATTTAGACTAAGGAGATGATTTGTACTATTTTTAAATGCATTTCTATTCACACACACACACACACACACACACACAAAAAGAGGGTATATATTTCACCCTCTAATTCAAAGTCTCTATATAAGTCTCTACTTTCCCATTTACAAAGGGCAAGCTTCGGCACATAGTGAAATGTTTTAACTACAAAACTAAGGACCAGTCCCAATCAGAATAGAATGGACTGGGGCCTTGACAAGAAGAGTTGGTCGCATAAAACTTGGTTCTCCATCTTTACATGTGCATTGCAAAGGCCCGCTGTATAAACAGGAGTCAGATCAAATTAACATGTGCATTCTTCAAATGCATAGCAGGAATCAGCCAACTAGTCAGCAGAGTTACAAACTGGTAACTCTAGCAAGAGACCACATACTACTCAGATACCCAGGCATGGTTATTGTTTTTAGGATTGTCCTTATTAATAGGGACACATTGAGACAATAACGGAACCAGAAACAAATTTACCTGGGCAGATGTAAACTCTAAGCAGAGAGTGTATTCTTCTGACCCTTCAAGGAAACTTTGAGTGTTTGGTTTCCTGTGATGTTGTATGCAGTACATGTTGATTTATTTCAAGTCTAAAAAAATGAATTTATATTAAGCTTCAGAAGGAAATAGTCAATAATTATTTGAACCAAAAATTACTTTGATTCACTTTCTCTCCCAACAGGCGGTTATTTTGCAAGCCACAGGATGAGAGAACTGAACTGGGTCAGAGGCCGGCTGGCCAAAGGTTGTTTGGCTTGGCCAGCACTTGGAGATGCGTATCTTCACAGAACTACACGACATTCCTGGACTAACTACCATGTTTAACCCAGGAAATCCTCTGCATTTGTGCAACTGAACTCATTCCTTAACAAGAATGACAATAGATGAACAACAGAATCATGTTCCTAACTCAAATATTTTGTTACAAAGCTCCCTCCTGAACCACATTAAAATGGAGAATTTATAAATTGGCAACAAGAAAAATTAATAGGTATGTATCTGACGTGCACAATTAAAAACAAATTCTTCTTACCCAAACACCATTAACAACTATGTGTAAGTCTTCAACTTCCATCCAAAGAAGGAAAACAAGAAACATCTTTTTTTCTTAATGAGTAAAACTTGGTAAAGGTATGTTAGTACATTATGAAAGCAAATGATTTAAGTGTCTTCAAAAGGAAATTTCTTTTTAAATTTTATTATTTGGTCTTCTGAAAATAATGCATAAGAAAGTCCTTCAATTCAAGTGGAGTTATTTTTTTTTTGAAGTGGAGATAATTTTTTGTATAACAACTCACAACCCACAATGGTATTAGTGAAACATAGAGCTTATTTACTGAAGAGACCGAAGAGCTCTGGGTGCCTGTGGACAAACCGGCCCCAAAGTTCCCTTAGCACCGGCCTGGGTGAAACATAAAAGAAGGAGCGAAGATGTGAGGTTCAGGTGAAGTCTTGGAGAAATAATCACTATTGTCTTACCCACTGAGACAATAAATAAAGAAAGCCTTGGGGCCAATGTAAGGCCTGAATACCAGGACGTGGAGAGCAAAGAGAGAGTAAAAGACACTCAGGGAACTTGAAGCGTGGGGAGAGAAGACGTCAGCGGGTGGGAGTCTGCAGGCAGACCCGTGGCCCCCGGGGCTGCGGCTTTCCCCCACGCCTCTCTGAGATTCTTTCTCTTTTTTCTTATTTTTCCTCTTTCAATAGCAGCTGTTCCTGCAGTATTGTTATCCCGGAGAAAGTTTATATTTGTTAGGTACAAAAATAAGAAATGACCCATATTAAGAGATTCAGAAGGGATATGAAGGCAGAAAATCAGAACAAGCAGGGGAGGGTGTGGAGGAAAGGGGACCCTCGTGCACGGCTGGTGGCCACCGGGGAAAACGGAGGAGGAGCCTCAGGAAGTCCGAGCTGGAGCTGCCTTAGGACTCAGCAATCCCGCTTCGGGGTATTTATCCAAAGGAAATGAAGACAGGATATCAAAGAGACATGTGCATCTCCATACCCATGGCAGCATTACTCACAATAGCTAAGCTATTCATAATAGCTTAGGTTTATCTTGTAGCCAAGATACAACCTAAGTATCCATCCGTGGATGAATGGATAGAGGAGATGGAATATTATTCAGTCTTAAAAAAAAGAAAAAAATCTTGTCACATACCACATGGATGAAACTGGGGGGCATTATGCTAAGTGAAATGAGCCAAACAGAGAAGGGCAAGTACTGCCTATCACTTATATATGGGATTTAAAAGAAAAAAACTGAACTCATAGGCACAGAGTAGAAAGGCGGCTACTGGGAGCTTGGGGGTTAAGGGTAGAGGGAGAAGGGTGGAAGAAATGGGGAAAGGTTGGTAAAAAAATATAAACTTTCGGTTATAAAATGAGGATCTAAGGTATAATACAGTGGCTACAATTGATAAGACTATTGTATAAGTGAAATTTGCTCAAAGTAGAGCTTAAATGTTCTCACAAAAAAGGGTAAGTATGTGAGATTATGGTTGTGTTAACTAATTCAGTGGGGGGTCCTTTCACAGTGTATATGTGTATCAAATCATCACATTGTACATTCTGAGCATTTTAGTTTTACTTGTCAATTATACCCCAATAAAGCTGAGAAAAATCAAATAAAACCAGCAGCAGCTGAGAGGAAGTTAATATTACGCATCCTTCCTTTTGTCACATTTTTCCCTCAGTACACCTGGCAGCCACCTCAGACCAGACCTCTCTACGGAGCTTCAGCCCCGTGTACCCACTTGCCCAGCCCATCCGGACTTGACTGTCTCAGGCTCTTCAACACAGACGTGTCTCAAACCCAGCTGGCCGACTTGCTCCCTCACCAGTCTGCCCCATTCCCTGCCCCGTCATGTGGGTGTTATTCTAGATTCTCCCCTTCTTCTCCCTCAGACCCCAGAGAAACACACACACACCAATCGAGTCAGTTATTTTAAAAACCTTTTCCAAGGAAAAATCAATTCTACTCTGGGTCCATCGTTGCTACCCCACCCCATGCCGTCTTCCCCCCAGATTATTGCAACAGCCCACCCCGCCTCCAGCCTCCTCCTGCCA